ATGTACTCAACAGTCACCGTTCTCGAACGCGATAGCCATCGCCCGGGCGAAGAGTTACATGTTCATCACACCCAATACGGAAATTCGGAGTCCACACACTGGCTAAGTGCAGCGTGTTTCCATCTCGCTGCCATTATATGAACAGGGCTTAGTATACTTAGGTAGTTGGAAGACTGGTAGGAAATTACCCAATTGTGCAAGGGCGAGAAAGCCACGCCGCTGTGCTGGGTCTCCATTATCGGTAATTTCCTTGCATCTCCCAACTCTGGGCATTATTGTTTCAAACGCGATCGATATGTTGTCAGGCAGTCTCGCCAATGATGCGCTGCTGCTGGTGTGTAGGTATGTTTGCGCCGTTTCACCGTATGCGGGAAAGAGCTCATCACCCACTCACAAGCCCCACTCTAGCGTGATTGCCAATACAGTCAGGGTCGATGTGCAGGATGAGCCGACTGTCCCCTATCAGGAACGAGGGATCCTACGAGCTGAACGCGCGCCGTGCGGGTGTGAAATGAGTGAAAGGTTTCCGGAGAATCTTTCGTTTGCGCCGCTAAGAAAGTTTTTAAACTTGCTCACCACGGGTTTTGTATCTGAACTCTCTGCGACAGCCGGAATCACAGCCGGAATCAATCTCTTCGCACGCGATTCTCTACCCTGCGTTCCGAACAGCATGTTCAAAATCGTGTTGTTCAGTACGCTGTATGCTTACTTCGAGGGGCTTTGCAAGCAGTACCGCGAAACTCTGTCGGTATGTTTTTTCCGCACGGTTGACTCAACGCCGCTCGACACTCGACATTCAATGTCAACTATACTCACATCTTATCAGGGCTTCAAACTCATTAGGCCGTTCTTCAAACCATCCTTCGCTGTGCCGAATGAGCAGTCTGTACCGCCGATCCGAGAGAACTGGTGTAAGATCTCCCCTCCTCATGTCCAGTATGCAAGACGCGTACTCATCCTCCAATCCGTAGACTATCCCGCCGATATCGCCAACGATCTCAAGGACTTCGACCTTCCACGGCGCATCAAGGAAGAAGTATATGCATGCGCATGGGAGTACGCACGCTGCGTGATTCCTCAATACACCAATTGGAATCGCTATGTGGCCTTCATGCGTGTCATTGTCATCGGTATCGTCGCAGAGTGCAAAGGCGACTTGGTACAGGTGTCACTTGGCGACAATCTTCTGGGCTACAACCTCACTGCTCTTCTCGACGAACTCTTTCAGGGCACAACTGAACAGTAAGCTGACCCGTTCTCGAATCTCACAGACTGACACTGATGTCATCCTGTCTAGATGCAGTGCGGCCATGGCTCGCGAGTTCCGCTGCTTCCTTCTCATTACAGCAGACAAAGCAAGCAAACGCCGTGAAGGCCTGTTGTTCAGACGTTACGTTACCGCCCTTGCCAAGTCGCCTCGACAATGGTTCCGCATGCGCGACACAGATGCTCTGATCCGCTTTACCATGGGCGCAGCTCTGGTCTGTAACGATCTCGATGACGTACACTATACCGAAGAACAGTTCGAGGCTTTGGATGAACTCGGCGCCACTCTCTACGACAGTGTAGCCTTCTACAAACACCGGTCCGAGGGCGAGACAGTGAGTGATATCTGATCAAACGTGATGCGATGGACACGGACTGACCTGAGACTTTTAGAACTCCACGTTCGCATACGCACCTACCAACATCCGTATCAAGGCTTTCCACCAGTCCCGTGAGTTGCTCTGGGCTCTCGATGTTGCTTGGGCGGGCAAGCGAGAACACATGGTTATAATCAATTTCTTAAGATTTTTCGGTGGTCCTATACACATGAGTAGGCTGATATTTCCATTCCCCGTAACGTACCGTTACTAACAAAGTTCTTTAGTGATGCGTCGCTACCGGTTCATCGAAGATGGAATGATGATCGGCCGGCCTGAGACTACCACCGTCATTACACAAGCACGCCAACAGTTCAAGCTCTGGAACCGCGTCGACATGCAGGATGGCGATGCCAAGGACGTCGAGCGCTACAACCACTTAATGGCGAGAAGTGATGAGCTCATGTTCGACGGCCTACGCGAGTTCCTCGACGCGAGCAACGACGATACTTGTAAGGGCTGTCAGTACCGTGAGACACATGGTGGACATACTTCTTTCTCGTTTGGTGGAATAAAGCTATGCGACGGCTGCAAGGAGTCTTGGGGTGCGTACGTCGAGTCTTTCTCGGCTCGGTTCGCGGATGTGTTTCCGGAGATCAGAAACGTGATGACAGCTTGAGTCGGGTATTGAGTCGATCAGACACATGAAGCACGGAAACCGGCTTTCATCAATTGCGGGATGAGCTAAAACTCACAACGGTGTTACTGTAACTATCCATTGACTATTCCACGCCAACCTCGGGAAAAACCGAACAGCCTGGAGCCTACGTTGACGTTAGGTCACCTACTTTGCAAGGTTATGGGTCAATGTAGTCTGCAGACATGTTCAATTTTTTTCTTGTATAAGGTGATTCAATCAAAAACACTCCCGCGACTCCACTTGCTTGCCCTCCTGATCCTCTTGCCGTATATGTAGAACACGAAAGGCACTGGAATTAGCAGTGCCGCGAATCCACCAGTGATACTACTCGCGGGACCTACTCCAACGTTGTGATACAGCGGCGTCACCACCAATGGGAAAGCGCCCGCAAAGGCGCTTCGAAGAAAAGTGTTTGCTGCGACTGCACTCGCAGCATACAACGTGAATGTGTCGACCAGGTAGTTCAGGGCAGCTTGGAATATCGTGAAGAAACCAGTTCCCAGCAACACCAGCCCAATGACGGGAGCAATCCAATGGTATTGAGGGTCCGCTGTCCAGCCCATGATGAACTGACCGGCGGAGAAGAGTACAGAGCCGAGCATCATTGGTGGCAGACGTGCTTCAGGAACGGCACGATTTCCAGCTGCACGGTAGACTTTGTTGTAAAGAAGTTGGTTGTAGGCGTTAATGCTGCAGCCGATGATTGCGCCAACCAAGATACCCAGGAAAGGCAGCGTTGCGCTTACTGCTGGCCATCCCCTCATTTCGCCAAAAATTATGGGAATGCCTGAACGTGTCAGTACGTGTCTCACATGCACTTCGTATAGCGATATCTCTTACCTCCCAGCATCATGTATAGAATTCCGTAGCAGAAGCTAGCGTAGAGTGCGACAAGAAAACAGATAGGTGTCATCAGAAGCTGCAACGGCCGGAGCAGGAACTTCTTAGACAATTCTTTGATGCTGACATCCCACTCCTCGAACTTGGTGTGAAGGGCCCAGTTGCCGGTTTCGTGTCGCAGGCGACGTGCTTTGTAGACGAGGAGTTTCGGTGGGTAGCATTCGTCGATGAAAATTATGTCGATGAACAGGATGGTAGCCTGAAGTATACCAGTGAAGTATTCGGTCCACCGCCAGCCAAGTGATGGATTGGCGACAAAAGCTGCGGAGACAATTGGCCCTAGACAAGGGCCGCCAACGACCGCCATAGCGTAACCTGCCATGGCTAAGGCCCTCCATGCCGGACTATACAGATCGCCCAACACACCACCGGTATTCGTGACTGGTGCGCTAGCAAAGAAGGCACCGAAAAACCTTGTGATCATCAGTGTCTGGAAGTCCTTTGCTACGGCACTACCGAAGCTAAAGCAGATTGCAATGAACATGGGCGTTAAAACTGCCAAACGTCTCCCGTAGACTTCGGAGAGGGGAGCCCAGAGAAGCGGACCAAGTCCAAATCCAAACAGGAAGAGCGTAGTGCCCAACACCGCGACCTGGTTTCCTACGTCGAACTCGGCTGCTATCTGTCGCGTACCTGCAGAATATGCAGAAGAAGCCCATGTCGCGCTCATAGTCGTGAGGCCATACATCATGGTCGTTGTGATCTTCTTCTTTGTGGGCCAGTTCATCGGGCGATAAGGATCGTCGTCGCCCTCAAAATCTACTAGCACATCTGCAGTGGTCTGCTGGTGCGCCAGAGGATGGGAAAATGGCGCAACATTCGGTCGTGTACGTATTCGTGAAAGTGCGGTGTCGCGTCTAGATATTGTCCGGCTCAAAGGCTGATTCATACCACTTGCCGTGGCTGTCGCTCTTCTGTCTCTTGGTAGACTGCGTCTGCTGCGTGATCGCGAAATGCTTTCTTGAAGTTCTCTTCCGGATGGACGGTGGCCGTCATGGTCGGCATCCTTCTCTTCCTCATACTCCGACGATGAATCGGATGTTGACTCGCTCCGCTGTCTTGGTCTTGATCGCCTTCCACTCTCAAGATCTACGTCGGTGTTTGATGTCGAAGTGGGATTCGTGTCTGATGATCGTTCGTCTTTAGAATCCATGATTCCAGTAGTTCATATCTTGTCGCCTTTCTCAACGGTTTATTCTGGGATGCTTAAATATAAACTACGATCCCTGTTCTAGGTGCAGCTCCGTGGCTCGAAGAATGAGAAAGATTGCCGGAAACGTGGCAAGTGCCGGACGCCTTTATGATGCTAAAGCCGTCAGCAACAATAGAGCGAGGAACTGATAGAACATCAGTAACACTAAGCAATGACAGATGCCACAAAAATCTACTATCGCTGGGTATCTCCGGTCGATATGACGTAGATTTTGCGTACTAATGAGCTGCGCTAACCTCGAACGGTATAGTCCACGGGTACATTCATTGCTCGGCCTTCTCGAGGTGTTATTCCCAGACCTCAGTTCGGATAAATCTCCGGCTGACAGATTTTCAACAAGTATCGCTCGCACGAAGACAATGTGTAACAGTCGAGGAAAGACGCGTGCGCACCGTGAACGCCCCATTTTCGGTGACGCGACAACAATGACGTAACGACTTGCAGCAAAGACGTGCAGCGTCCTTCCGCCAGCTCTTCATTACATCTATAGCACGTAAGAAACATAAAACCTGGAATTGAGAAATTCTGTGTACATTGCTGACATTACGGGTATTACTCGACACGTAGTTATCATCTACCTATCCAACTAGATCGTTAAGTATTCTTACAAAGCTCCAGGGGTGTTCTTAATGGCCTGAGCAGCAGCCTCGCAGTCCTCGCCTAGCGGAACAACAGCGCCATATCCAACAGCCTGCCCACAGCCAGTGAAGCCATAAACTCCCTGGTAGAATCCGGAACCGTCTGGACTGGCCTTTTGCAAGGTAGCAGAGAAGACATCGGCACCTGCCGAAGGACCAAGAGTTACGTTGCCCGAGCGGTAAGTTGGCTGGGCGGTGGCGTTGTTAAAGAAGTAGACGTTGCGCTGGCACTTGGGTGAAAGGAGGCTTCCCACGCTGCCGAGCAAGAAGGGCTGGTTGACCATGCTTTTCCACATGTCGAGGGAGTATTTGGGTGCTGCTTGGTTGGGTTCGCTGACGAACTTGAGATCGAACGCCTCGGAGTATAGGCCAGGACCGCTGACAGGGTTGGGTGCCTGTGCCCACTTCGAGTTGATGCCGAAAGATCCATCCCTGTATGATTGGAATGGTGCATTGAGTGGTAGAAATGCGCCGATTCTGGTTTGAATACCGCCTATAGTAGCTAAAGGATTGCGCGTTAGCTACAACCCACAGGCTGGACTGAGTTTGCGTCAGTTACTTACCAACTAGAGATGGAACAAGGCCGGCAACGTAACCCTGGGTTACTTCGTCCACACCGGCAAGGTACGACACGAGGGGCGCATTGAGTGGTGTCTTGGAGCTACCGACGCCGACATAGGGGATCATAGAGCTGGCGACCATCAATCCTGTAGCAAGCTGGAGGCCGCCCTGGCGGATATCGGTGTTGGCTCCGGCGTTGACGATGACCGGGTGCATGCCCTCTGGAAATTTCAGCTCTTCGGGAAGAGATAGCAGATTTAGTCCGCCTAGGTTGACCAAGCTCGAGAACGACTCCTTGAGGGCCTTCATGACAGCATCCTTGGGCACCGGAACAAGGAACCAGTCTGCAGCATGTGTCAGTACAATATTTCCTTACTGTTCAGAGACTTCACACTTACTGCTGGTCGCACTCATAGTGCGATCTTGCTGGTTGTAGATGGCAACCTCATTTGGGCACGTTGTGCTTTGGCCAGCGACGAGGCTCGCGGCAGCAAGCAGTATTTGGAAGAAGAAGCGTGCCATGGTGTAGCTGATGGTTTAGGTGGATGGTTGAGTAGGGAGTGGTCTTACGGTGGCATAGGCCCGTTATATACAAAGATGCGCTCTTGGTTTGGGATCGTCGTCATACCCAGGTAGACTAACATGGTGCTTTGCATCACAACAATAACTCATAGCTCTGTCAGCGCCTTGCTTCCGAGCCTGACCGTAGCATCCGGAGCGATTGGGCGCTCTGGACATTGAGATCGACTGCTAGCATTCCCATGCTCATTCGGTGAGATGTACATCACCACTCCTGTTCTCTGCGCTAGCCATCAATTAGGTTTCCGTTCGCCCCGTTTCGGTTTTTAATGAACCCACTTGTAATCAGGCTAGCTACAAGTAATCGCTCGGCACAAGAACATCAACGATCGTCGGCACCAGCGCTTCCGGTCCGCTCCAATCCCTTCCAGAAGGACTCTTACATCGCGCGGCTACGAAGCTCCCGAATACCGGAACCTGTGCGATGCGGGCTACTTGACTCAACTCATCTGTCTGAGCGTTTTGTTATACAACCGTACACAATGATGCTATAAAATGGGATGATACTTGTGTGATCACTATCACTCGAGACTTGATATTTTCGGATTTGAAATACCCCTATTACGATGTAACCACAAACCCATGCGGCCACTTTCAGGTATGCGTGAGAGCTTACTCAAATGAGTACACTCTAGCGCTTATGGTACGCTATGGTAGATGACGATGTGAAGCAGTTTAGAGTTTTCCCATTCAGGAACAGGAAACTTGAAAGAACATGAAGTGATGCGGATGGCGCTAAGCTTTATCTTCCGATAAACGTCTTCCAACTGGTATCATGTGTTTTGATTTTGCACGGCTTCATGACGAACATGCGCAAACCAAATTATCAGCCTCATGACCCTCGAAGCTGACCGTGCACATGTTTGCATGCTTTACCGCATCGTATTTTCCCTGAAGCAGTATTCAACTCTTCAAAGGTTAACCACCCTTTCATGGTGATGACACGAAAAGACTTGGCAGTCAGCATTTCGGATACCTGGGTAGATAGTCAGCGCGCTCACCACCTCGAATGCGATGTCTACGTAGACGGAGCGTTCGAAGGAAGGGACAGAATGCCATGATCGCTCGGTTAATGCAGCCCTCCCCACACGCGCCCAGGTGGCTTGCGGGACGTGTATCTGCCAAGCCACTAGCACACGCCTCCAACGCGCGCGAACCTCCTCGAGGCGTGACGTTTGCGGTTCCTCAGCCTTGTCGCACCTTCTCATTCTCCCTTACTTATCATTCTTTTGGCCGCTTGTACAGGCGCATATGTTCAGCAAATCTATGCGATTCTATTTCCGTTATTTTTATTACAATTGAGCACAGCACCCGGCCATGACAGATTACAGCAAACAGACAGTCGCGCAACTGCGGCAGGTGTTGAAGGACCGGAGTATACCCAGCACCGGCTTGACACGAAAGGCGCAAATTATCGAGAAGCTTCAGGAGGCCGACCTCGCTGCCGAGACTCCCAGTGCGCCAGATGAGGGTACCGAAAGCGCAGACGCGCCGCCGGATGCGGTAGAGCAGGTGAATACCGAAGTTGGCGACGACACTGCCACCAAAGAGCATGTCCCTGGACCAGCGCTCTCTGAGGCTGGAGGTATGCGCACTATGAGTACATCGCCGCCGCTAGATGCTGACCCGAGTCTAGAAGCAGAGCAGCCTACACGCGAAGCCGAGCCAGAGCCTCTACCCGTACCCGCAGCGACTACCGATTCCCTCCCCGAGACAATTTCGCACATTGACAGCGAGATTCCTCCACCAGACGAGATTAAAGCAATAGAGCGGCCTGCCGAGAACACCACCAACGCGGAGGAGCCCGGCTCAATACAACCGGCGGGAGTCTTCAATGCACCGCCCGCAGATCCCGACGATGTGGTTGGCCCAACCGTGACGGAGCCTACAGATGCGGAAGTTGGAGACGTAAAGAAAGTCGAAGTCGCAGAGGGCGAGCTGCCAGATGCTCCAGGACCGGCTGCTGAAGCTCTGCGGTTGGCGCAGCCAACGTCTGGACTCCCCGAAGATTTGCAAGACACGAGCATGGACGCGAAGACAGCTTCACCTGTGTCCAATGAGCAACAATCCGTTGAGAAGCCGGAATTGCTTACCGTTCCAGAGCCCTCGACGACGGAAACATCGAGGCTCAACACGGAAGAAGTAGAAACAGACTCGAAGAAGAGAAAGAGGAGGAGTGACACCCCCGAGATGGCGGACCAGGAAATCAAGGCAAAGAAGCACAGGCCCAGCCAGGAACCGGCGCCTGGCGTTCACCTGCAGGAAGACGAGGACACCGTTATGGAGCAAAGAAGATCGGAGGAAGAGAGCGCACCTTTAGCAAATGGCAATCCGAACGAAACAAACGACACTCGCTCTATACCAGCCGGGGAGGATCCGCTAGTTGTGGAGACCGACACAAGACGCGAGAAAAAGGAAAAGGCCTCTCGGTACAAAGACCTCATGAAATCCAACGCAGACGACACACCCCAGGAAGCCTTGACTGATGACAGACCCACGGTACCCGCGCTCCACCCTGTGACATCTGCATTGTACATCCGCAATTTCATGCGCCCTCTGCGTCTGGAGCCACTACGAGCACACCTAATCTCTCTTGCCTCGCCGCCATCCACCTCACCGGACCCCACAATTGTGGAAACCCTTTTCCTGGACGTACTCAAGTCGCATGCGCTTGTACTGTTTAGCACTAAGACTGCTGCATCACGAGTGCGAGCATCTTTACACGGCTCCATCTGGCCACCAGAAGGTAACAGGAAAGAGCTCTGGGTCGACTTCGTCCCGGATGAGCACGTGAAGGATTGGATCAAAGAGGAAGAGGACGCTGCAGCTGCCGAGAAGGACGCTCGTGCAAACAAACGCTCACACAACCCCAAAAGGTTTGAAGTCGTATATCCAGAGTCCAGTGATGGCTCTGTTGTAGCTGTATTCCAGGAAGTCGGTTCAGGCGCTCCTGCAAACGCACCACGAGGCCCACGCGCAAGCGCAGACGCACGAATGCCATTTATACAACAAGCACCAGCACCATCGCTCCCAACAGCCTCATCGAAAGATCCCCGACAAAATACTGAAGCTTCATTCAAAACACTCCACGATCTGTTCAGCTCCACAGAAGCGAAGCCCCAACTCTTCTATCTCCCCGTTTCGGATGCTATTTCCGATCTGAGGCTAAAGGAACTGGACGCCGAGACAAGCAGAGACTGGGCACCTGGCCAGACGAGGAAGGGGCGGGGCATCAAGACAGAGATGAAGTACAAATACAGTTTTGACGACGATGACAGGGTTGTCGAAGTTGGTGAAGAGCGCCCTGACTACAGAGGTGGCAGAGGCGGTAGTGGCTACAGAGGGCGGGGGAGGGGTGGATATAGAGGGAGAGGGGCAGATGTTTGGAGAGGATGAGTTACCCGAAGGGATGTGATCTTTGTGTAAGAAATATCGAAAGTCGAAGAACCGTGCCAGGTGCTCTGCAACAAATGTTCTTGGCCAGGTCCTCCTTCCCTATGTCAGGCCGCTGCTCGAGGTTGCAGCAGGCAAGAACGACGGCTACGGTTTGCTGTAGCCTCTTCATTCCATCGCTCCTCCGGCACCGACCTTCCTACGCATGGTAGGGGGTTTCCCTATGCATTCGCATACTGATTTCCTCACTCAATTCGCACAAGTGACGACAATGGCCGCCCGGTGTCCAGGCGATCAGCTCACGAGCGACCTCATCGCCGAACTGGCTTTGCCCTTTGGCCATAAAGACATTACCTTCCACCTGCTGACTCTAAATGTCTGCTGCACTTTGGCGTCATTGGCGATTGGGGTTTCCGTCTTCCACATTATGCAACACACACTGCACTACCGACACCCACACGAACAAAAACACGTTATACGTATTCTCTTCGTCATTCCGGTCTACGCGTGGACCACATTGCTCTCTTATGTGTTCTACAGAAGGGCTGTCTACTGTGAGCTTGTCCGCGAATGCTACTCCGCTTATGCAGTCGCGAGCTTCTTCACGCTCATGTGTCATTATATTGCACCTGATCTCCATGAGCAGAAAGAGTACTTTCGCCACGTCGAACCGAAGAATTGGGGTTGGCCGTTGAATTGGTTCCAGAAGCTGACCGGCGGCGAGCACAAAGGGTTGCTGAGGAGGCCGAGGAGCGGCATTACCTGGTTCAATGTAAGTGATGGCCTAGCCTGTATTCTTTGAGAGGTTACTGATCATCCGCAGATCAATTACATCGGGATATTCCAATACGTCGTTCTTCGTACCATCGTAACAACCGTAGCCGTCATCACGTCATCCCTCGGTCAATTCTGCAAAGGAAGTCATAACGTACGCTACGCTTCGCTATGGACGGCCATCTTTGATGCACTCTCTGTTCTTGTCGCGATGTATTGCCTACATCAGATCTACGAGCAGCTCAAAGAAGATCTCGCACCCAACAGACCCGTCTTCAAGATGGTTTGTGTCAAGCTCATCGTCTTCTTTACTTACTGGCAAACATGGCTCATCTCGCTGCTCATTCAATACAGAGCACTGCGACCTACGCGCTTCATTGCTGAACTGGATCTTCATGTCGGAATTACCTGTCTGCTTACATGCACCGAGACTTTGGTCTTTGCTGTCCTGCATTACTGGGCGTTCCCATGGAGGCCCTACAAGATCGATCGGCTTCCGAAGTTCCCTCAACAAAGGTACGAGTGTGGACCCAATGAAGCTTTGGTGGAGGTATTGAATCCTTGGGATTATTGCTGCGCGGCTGCTCGCGGCTTCCGTTGGCTATTCCATGGCATTCACTTTCGGAACGAGAGCGTAGCCTACAAGTCCGATTGCAAAATTCCTGGTCCCAGGACTCGAGGCGGCACGCAGTCAGAGCCACTACACGACGGATCGAAGAACAGTTGGAGGTGCAAAGAGAAGGATCGCAAAACAGATTGATAGACTCGTGGACTTGAAAAGAAGGAGGCGTCCAGGAAAGATTGAAAGGCTACACCAAGTATGAAGAATAGGAATAGTCAAATTTGTGTCTGAATATCAATTTAAAACAGGAATATTGAGAAAATTTACTTCTTATTACAGACCTTTGCAATGTTGTGAAGCTTTGGAATTATAAAGGCGTTAGGTCGCCGACGGGCGGCGTAGCGCTTACATAACACCAATGAAGCTCGGGACGATCTTCACCAGCACTACAGCTACGGCTCTCGTCCCTCAGACTTCGCAATCCCGTAAATCCCCAATATGTCCAGGTTCCCCACAGCAAATCCTTCTGGTGCCCGTGAGACAGTTAGCGTCGCTGCTAACGTCTGCACGCGACTGCGGCTAGCTTCCGCGTGTCTGGTATTTGAGTCGGCCTGCCCGCATCGAGCGCGTTCCGTTCCTCGATGCGATCGCTTCGCACGCTCGCTCTCAGCCTGAGCACAGCACAACATGCCGTCTAAATCACGTGGACTGAGGACCTCGACAGGGTGGTAAGTTCACGCAGATCAAGCATGCATCAATTACTGTGAAAGCAGAAGCTCGAACCTCTCCATGCACAGCATCGTAAGCGCAATGCTAATAATTGGACAGCCTGACATGCCGCAAGCGTAAGGTCAAATGCGACGAAAGCCATCCAAGTTGCAGAAACTGCGAAAGAGTCCAACGAGAATGTGTATATGCTGAGAGGACCCCAACACCCCGACGCCCGCGAGCACTAAGCGCGCGTGACGTCGACGTGACCGCAGCTATTGGGGACTCAGCGCCATCAAACAATGAGACCGAGCCTGGGTCTGTAAGCATTCCAACGCTAGGTTCAGAGCCTGTGGAGCCGTTACAGTCGTGGCCCTCATTCCCCGCAGAACCGCCGGGGCTCACTGAAAGTATACTACCAAACGATGATTTCTTCCTTGACGACAGTCTTTTCACCTTCGGGGAAAGCTTGGCGCCTAATTTTGGACCTGTCGAATGGTAACATCGACCCGCTTATTGAGATTGACATTGACTAAGACCTGATAGGTATGATCTACTGGCGGAAGACGCGATCAACAGTATGCAAGGGCAAACGAATAGCAATCGCTGGAATTTCGATATTGCAAGTTTATCAAGAAGACAGTCCCCTCGGCAATCCGTCGCTCTGGCAGGCGATGATGACCCTTTTGGTAGCGTCAACGTTCACACAGTCGCAATAGCCGAGCAACCATGGAATACGGAAACAAGGATTGAGTTGAAGCGGCAAGAGCTGACGTACTTTGAACATTATGTCAGTGATGTAGCACCGATCTTGGATCTTTTCGACCCTGCGAAACACTTTGCGAATGTTGTTCCCCACCTCGCCTTGCATAACGTAGGTCTGCTCAAGTCCTTGTTGGCAGTCGGTGCTTGTCATATGGCCCTATCTCAGGATCAGGATGTCAGCAATGAGGCTGCTTCTCAGGTTCAACCCGGTACGCCCGCTTCGTCTTCTAGCGCATCGTCCACTCCACGAAGGGCTGCCGAACAACTGTACTATGAGACACTGCAGTATCTGTCGCAGAATATATGGCATCAGTCATATACCAATTCCCGCGAAATATTGGTCACTGCTACAATGATCTCGACATATGGTAAGCAATGTCTCTATGTGAATAGCGTGTGCGAAAGGTACTAATCACATGTACCAACTCGTAGAAATGTTTGGTACGGCTGGTAATCCCGATCACAGTAATTGGGACCGTCATCTGAGAGGAGCTTTCTGGATACAAAAGAACGCAGGCGCAAGCGGCGAGTCTCCCGATAGTCTGCAACGTGCAGTTTGGTGGGCTTGGCTGCGGCAAGACATCTGGGCAGCTTTTCGTACTGGACGACCAGCACTGACAATTCATCAGCCCAAGGTACCGATGGTGGAACTCACGTCGGAAGGACTGGCGACACGCATCATATATATCGCCGCAAAATGTGTCCAGTTCGCGGCAGCGCCGAAGCAAGGGGACATAGCTGGCTACATTGAAGCAGGAGAAACACTGCTACGAATGCTAGATGCTTGGAAAAGTCTCCTTCCATCAAGCTTCGAGCCCATACCTGTGGAGACTGGACCCACCGCATCATCTCCAAGTTCGACCCTCGAAGCGAAGCCGACGCCGATCTGGATACACCCTCCTGCACATGCTGCTGCTATCCAAACCTACCACTTTGCGCGAATAATCATGATTCTCAATCAGCCAACGACAGGAGGTCTCAACACGTATCAAACTCGCTTCAAGCTCCTTCGCGAAAGCACGTCGACGATATGTGGTATTGCTTTGGCGCAGCAATCGCAAAACTCCCCTTCGGCTTTTGTCAGCTTCCAGGCTATCTATGCAGGTATTTATACCAGCTCTTCGTATATGTACAGATTACTGACTTGACATCAGCGGCACTCTGTATGGAGACACCAGATCGACAAGCGGAGATACTGGAGATTCTCAGATCCGTCTTGAGCATAAGCAAGTTTCCGTCGGTCTCGATACTAGATGAATTGGTCAATGTCTGGGGTGGGAAGTCACATTGATGATACTGGTTGGATGTCTTCACAATGCTAAACGATTATCCATGCAATCGTTCGAGGGCTTCTCGCTAGACGACTTATCCCATGCTGTACCAGAGAGACACAGCTACAATTAGAGCAGCACATATGCGGAACCCTTGTCGCGCTTCAGATGTCACTCTGATTTTTGGAACATGACGCATAACTCTGGGGCCTTGCCGACGAAGCTATATGGAGAGTCGGCAGACCTGATGGTCTCGCATCGAGCGCCAATCGGGTTTGGCTCTGGCCTGCATCGACTACGCTAGCGCATCGTACTGCCTTTTCGGGCCGTTTTTGGTGGTGACCATCACCACCTTACGCAGAAAGGCTCGAATCGAGTTCTAGGCCGCATCACATCAAAACGGTAGGATCACTTGCTGTGGTCGTATTGCGATTTTCCCAAGCCAAGGGCCGCAAGCCTCTTATCATCACTAGGGTTCACGCAGCAAACCGATGAGAACGCTACATCAGCATTCCCGTCTCCATATCGCTTTGGCAAGAGCTTGCCGAGCATGATAGCAATTAATCGTCCGAAACGCTGACCTTCTCCTATCACCCCGATGTTTGAGAAACAGGTCAAGCGATGCAGATATGGTGGAATTGGGTTCACGGGTCTTCACTATCGGATCTCAACACTGCATCGGGGTTGCCCCTGACTTTTCAGTGACTGAGAAGTAACCCAATCCCAAGATTTGATCAGTATCTTTCTGTAATTGGTATCCTTTCGCTAGTAGCAACAATACTTGTCATCGATAGCGCACTCTTAACCCATTTTCGTCGAAGCTCTCGCTTCACAATTTCTCACCTTTCGCCAGGCGCTCATACATAAGAAGGATCAGATTTCTGGACGAATTCCGGATAACAACAACTCTCCGAAATGCTGTCACATCTTTCCGGAGCAATCAGCCATGGTGACACGCACTCAACACATTCGTATTTCCTCACGTACAACAATCACTATAGGCTAAAGACTGACGTATCAGTTTACGGATATGGGAACCGTCACCTTATGGACGTCCATTCATTCGTTGTGTTTCATGTTGCTGACGGACACGGCCGGTGCTGCACAGCGTCAGCACCTTAACAAGCGGCTGCATACCCTCCCTTTCCAGGTTTCCCCACACGACTCCGTTTAACCTTATATTGACGGAACAACCTCATATGAACGCGATTAACTCTGCATATGCGCGATCAAAGGACATCGGCCTTGTACACCCCGGATATCCGCTCAGCGCAGCATGCAGCCGCGAACAGGGAGCAGTCAATTACACTTTGGGCGACTGCCGCCTGACTTCATCTCCCCTCACTTATACTCTTCCAGCCTTCATAAACGTCGAGCAACATCACCAGACTTCGCCTCGATATTGCGATCGCTATACTGGCATGGCATACCGCTGATTCTGCTTCTATAGCAATCTAAATTCATTCCCATGACGATGTGGGGTTACGTGCCAATTGGACCTGCGGGTGATTACCGAAGTTGTTCTTTGTATGCCGGGATGATAGCTTTACCCAGACTACACGTCCTTATACAGACGCGAAAGACTATACTGACACATATAAAGTCTACCTGAAGGACTCGAGAGAACGAGCATCTCCTCACGAAACAACAGATTCAATCTCAACTAGTCATCTACCTGAGCTCTGCTTGCTTCATCCACGATGAGGTATACAACCACTGCCGCCACTCTTCTTAGCCTCGCGACCACCTTCGCGCACCCTTCGCCCTCCGCCGACCCCCTTCGTGTCCTCCCGCCCAACTGGTCGTTCACCATATCCTCCATCCGCGGCCCAGGCTGTCCAGACTCCGGCAAAAACGGCACAGTCTCGCGCACCACGCGCCCAACCTTTGGCTCTAACACCGTCGATGGCAGCGAGATCTACTACTGGTACATCGCATACCCATGGATGCGTGTCGACCTCGAGGCTGGCCCCCGCCATACATGGTGCGAGACGACGCTGGCATACAAGGAGTACAAGGATTTCGATAAGACTGCTGAGGCAGAAGACTATAAGCTGAGGCTGCACAAGAACGGTACAAAGGGCATCATGACGTACCAGCTTGACGAGGGAGTGCAAGTCTACTGGGACTTTGCTTACTACGTGGGCGAGGGGAGTGGAAGAACGGAGGTACGTTGTCCATGATACTGAACCCTCCAATAGTCAGACAATGTACTGACTCTTCCAATAGGTCGCCGATACCATTGACTTGACTGGCCCTGCTTCATCTGGCCCGTATGCTCAAGAACACTACTCCAACATCAGTTACCCACCCGAGCTTATTCCTCAGCCTAATTGCGGAAGCGGTACGTTCACTTTCCGCACGGAGATGTGGGTACAAGGCAAGGAAGGTCAGAAGGGTGTTGTAGATAGCGAACATTCGTATAGCGAGGCGCTTGGTGACCAGTACTATGGC